AACATCATAGTGTCTTGTGATGTTGTGGATTGGTCCTTGGAGAATTGGCAATATTGACAGCTACTGAAATGCCATGATTCAACTTTTGAGAAATCTTCCAGCCATGTGTGGAATTGATGCTATATAAAATTCCTGCACTTCACTGTGATAAAGGTGGTCCTATATGACATGCACTTAACCCATGATTTTTGGCACATCAATGTTTGTCCTACATAATGACATTTTTCTTGTTTAGTCACTATTTTTCTGATCACTTCTTTCTATTACTCAGTTATTCCTGTTAATGTCTTAATTACTTCCACTTTGATTGTAATACCTATATAAGGTTGTAAAGCAGAGGCTAGCTTTACTTGTTTTTTTCTTCTTTAGAACAAAAAGTTGATCAGGCAGTTAAATCCTGTGATAGTGGGGAAATAGCCTTAGCTAAGGCAGTTGTCCTCCTTGCTTATCAAGAAGGATCAAGCTCTGGTAGTTAGGGCTAGGTTAAATCAAATGTCCCCTGAGACAATGAATATGGCCACTGAATTGCGTGCAGAGGAGAATTGGAGTGCGTCTCAGCGACATATCACGTGCATCACATTGCCAGATAAGCGGACTGTGACTACAAATGAGGGCATATGTCTTGTGTCGAGCAGGGCCGAGATTAATGAAGGCAGCAAAGAAATCAGTGGTTATGAGATGGTGACAGGGGCCAAGATCAACCCCAATAAGTTTGTCAGCTTGCTGTTGGGTGTGTGGAAGGGAGTTTCTCTTCCTGGATCTTTCCTCTGGACAGATGGGCTGGTCAAGATTCTCGGCGTCTGGTTTGGTCCTGATCTCCAGTTGGAAATGAATTGGTTGGAAGTGCAGGGGAAGGCTGATATCACAATTAATTTGTGGTCTCGGAGGAACCTTTCCTCAAAGGGGAGGGTGGAAGTATGTGTTTCACACATCTACCCAATTCTCCTTTACTGACTCTCGGTGCTTCCACTTCCGTCTGACACTTTACAGGCGTTAATAAAGCTCTTGTTCTCCTTCTTGTGGGGAGGCAAAGCCACCAGAGTCTCCCAAGAGATCTGTTGCCTTCATCCATCTGAAGGCGGTCTAGGTATGCCTAGCATTGAGATTTGTCACTATATGCTTCGCATTGGGTTCCTGGATCGAATGTCATGAATCAAATGAGGTGGGCGCCTTCTGGAAGTAAGATGCCCGTAAGAACTTCCCATTCCTGAGAAGTGTGCACTCGCACGGGGAGGAGGCCCACTGTATACCCCGAGTTGAGTGCTCCTTCTACTGTGAATGTTGTCATGCTCTGAAACGCCTCTTACGGGTGTCAGATGGCCTCTCCAACGTCCAGGCATTTAGTAATTGTGGTTTTTTTTTATTACTAACATGATTTTGTTTAGTTTCTTGTAAATAGTTTTTATTTCATATTGTAAATACTCATTGGGGCTAGTTTTTAAAATTTTTATATTGTTTTTATTCCCCTCCCTCCACAGACAATAAATTGTACATATGGGGACTACTTAGTATTTTCATGGAGACAATGAGGTATTATGGTGGATGTAGTAAGAAAGGTACGTAAAAATGTGTTGTTTTGGTGTAAGGAATATTGTTATATTTCTGAGATGAGGTGTTATGTACATTATTTACATTATTCGGACTATTGTCCTCATCTTTGTCGCCATATTTATCACAACGTTTTGGCTGTTGTACACTCGGGCCTTCTTCAGGTGGTTGGAATTTCGAACTTAACCCTTAACACTGTGCCATATGTTCTCAAGGACACATGGCACAGTGGATAAAGGTGTTGGTTAGATCCAGTGACAGGACCCAAAGAGTGTGAGTTCAATACCCGGTTAAGGCAGTGGAGAACTTTCAGAGGGAAATTAGCAGGAGATAACTGATAACTGACATCCATCAAAACATGGCACGTGGAACTAGAACAGTCTACCCCAGTGAGCAAAATAAAGGGTTAAGTTCGAAATTCCAACCACCTGAAGAAGGCCGGAACATACAACGGCCGAAACGTTGTGATAAATATGGTGACAAAGATGAGGACAATAGTCCGAATAATGTAAATAATGTAAGGAATATTGTTAGTATAATTGGGTCAGCATTTGTGGCTAGCTAAGTTTAAAGTTAAGACAGAAGACTGACCTCGTCCCCCTTTCGACCTTGTGCCACATTTTCTGTATTTTACAGAAATAAATATTACTTGTTTTTTATTCTGGGAATCATGGAGGACTAAAGAGATAACAGAAGAAACTAAAGTGAAGATTAACAATTTCTAGCATTGCTCTTTCTATTAACTTTTGTATTGCTAAGTTATTTTTCAAACAATTCTGTTAATTTCCATCTTTTGCACCTATATATTATAGGTGACATACATTCATTATACACTTTGTGAATTAAGCATATTGGCAAGAGGCTTTTCATTATATTTGTTTTCATCAAACACTTTTTATAAATCAATTTATTTCATTTTCATGATATAAGTAGATATATTTCGGGATTTCTTCTAGTTCTTCATTCTCTATTTTTTTTCTTTTAGAACATTATAATTGAACAGACTAGATCCTATAGCATTGGGTGCCAACTGGTCTAGGAGAAAGACAACCCTGAATTCAAAACCTGAGTGGTTGGTGACTAAACTGAGTCTGGTGTGGAAGGTAAGTGGAACCCCAACAGCACAAAAAAAAAAAAACAGAGCAGTTAAAAGACAGATGAATTCTGAAGAAACAATGGCTGTTCACTCCAAATATTGGTTAAATCACCTCACCAATCTGAAATTGGTCAAGATTGGTGAGTACAGCAATACTCTTGAAGACAGGGTCAACCAGGGAGGGGTTCCTCTAACAGAAGTTAGAAGGCCCTGGATTTGGAATTGAAACTTGCTTTTGTTTTATTTCTGTTCACTTTTATTTTGAAGCTTTCCCTGTTTAGGTCACTTAACATTTCTTATAGTTTATTCAATGTTACGGATATGTAAACTGTCATCAGAAAATTATGAAGGAACCAATTATTCTTAGCTTATCTTCCCATTCCTTTCCAGTTTATTTACCAAAAGAATTTCAATGCATGATTAAGGAGAAATCATATCTACTTATCTCACTCCTCTTCTGATCTTTAGTAATCTGTGCCTTTGTGTAGTTAAATTATTGCTTTATTGTTTATATTCTCAATAGCTTTTATATAATTTTCCTACTTTTGTAATGAATTAAAAACTACCAAGTATTCTACCTAATCAAATTCCTTTTCATAGTCAACAAGGGTCAAACAAATAGTTATATTCTGTTGCTTTTCTTTTATCACCTGGTCTATTGTTAAGTAACCATTCATGTTTTTGTAGCTGTTTTTTCATCTAGGGTATATGCAGGTACCTCCACCGAATTTTCAATACCTAAGGTTTAAAAAAATGAATTTTTAAAATTGAAAAAGCATTCTTGAAGATCTCATTTCAGAGCAGATTTTCGGTGAAAGGGGTAATTGTCCTACAAAATAAATAAATAAATAAATAAAAATATTGATGATTAACTTTCTCCAAGGAGTCCTGCTTTTAACTAATAGATAAAAAAATCCCAGCCTTAAAAATTGAATTTCTCGAAATTTCATGAAATTAAGTAAGTGGGTGGAAGAAAAAAATAAAAATTAAGAAAAAAATAATTTCATTCATTTCAGTACATGTCCTGTAAGTTTCATTAAAATCCGACAATTATTTGATTTTTGCAAGTCAGTGTGTTTTTCACTGGAAAAAGCGCAAAAAAAAAAAAATCGTTATTACATCAGCCGCTGACGTCAGCAAAACAAAATTTTTAACTAAAATTTCGAACGTGCTAGAAAGGATTAAAATAATTTAAAAAAAAAAATAATAAAAAAATACTTTTTAGTCTTTCCTTAAATAATAACTTAAAACATTTTTATGACAAAGTGGTGGTACCTAGATGTGTTAAGAATTTTTCAGAAAAGTTTTTAACCTTCATACTAGTCATACCCTGCAAAAAAAATGCGGTTTCAAAAAGGACAATTTTTTTTTTGTTAAAAATAACACCACTATAACTGTTTCCCTCACCAATGTTTATTTTTACATGATTATAAAAATTGCTGAATCAAGTACAATGCAATATTTATTATACCATTTCATAAAGATTTATTATTTATCAATTTATAAAGAAATATATTTGAAAAGAAATATTTTTATTAAAAAATTTAAAAAACGTTGACATATTTTAATAATTTTATTTTTGTACATTTTTTAAATTTTTCAATAAAAATATTTCTTTTCAAACAATAACAATGCAATATTTATTATTTACTAATAATAAATAACCATGAAAACAAGTTTTATTCATAATTTTAAAAATACATCCATGAACTCTAGAAGAAAAGCTATTTAATGTTTCTTCAAATCTTTTCAAATTATTTTTATATCTCAGATTACTTCGTTTTTTTAACTGTAAAATTTAAAGTTTAAATTTTCCATTTTTTTCTTTTTCTTTTTTTTTTACAGGGATTCCTAACAAATCCAAAGCCTGTAACTCAATCAATTATTACCTACTTTTCTAAATAAAAAACATAATTTTGAAAAGATTTTTTTTTTAAATCGTTAAATTTTCTAAAATATATGCCTAGGAAACCTGCCGATTGGTATTTTTATCATCACTCGGCTAATTGCTGAAGAATCTTGAAGAGTGGGTACTAAGTACCATTTTTGACTAAAAGCAATTGTCGAAACTGGCGAATTGTGTTCTTTGGAAATTAAATGACCGGTAAAACATCGGCTAATTGCCAATGGATTCGTATTTTAAATACATAAAAAATGTTAAATAATAAACATTTCATTAGTTGGTTCAAATATCTTTCATGATTTTTTTTAGTAAATTTTTATAAATAAAAAATTGTTTTCAAAATTATTAATAAAATGATAAAAACGGAAGTTAGTTATCGTCAAACTCCCCATTTGGTCGAGTCGGTCCAATGTCCAGGTAAATAGTTGTTAGTGAGAGAATACATACACTTACCACGCCAGGCAAAGCAGACATGTATCTGTTTGGCGTGTAAATCCAAAATGGCCGATGTTACGAGGAGGCGTCGATGTCACGCATGATCTCGGGGAGCGTCTATTTACAATTACCCCACTACGCATGTGTGACGCTACTTTTTTGAATACGATCGGAGCGTTTTGAAGTGTGACTGTTGGAATTTTTAATAAGCAAACTTTAAGTTCAGTTGACCATTGATGACAATTCCAGAACAATGTAACTATAAACAATTTTTTTCTATCCTTTGCCAGCCGCAATGATGGAGAAAGCATTACCTTGAACCATCGCCAGTGAAACACGCTGCAAGAGCCACTCAGTTTCGCGAGGCTCGTCCCTTAATCGAGATGCAATCGCGCCAATCCTCCGAAGGAACGCCATCGAACGAGGGCCAATAACCCCTGAAGTCTCCACTGCCACAGGAGTAAAAAAAAAAAATCTATCAACAAGAAAAGAATATTTAACTATTTTTTCATCATGTGTAACGGGCGACGGATCCCGGCTCAACCGCGGACCTGATCAAATTACCAGCTGAAAATGTATCTGCACAGGTCGCATCCCAAATGAACGACTTCCCCATTTTAAAAGGGAAAATTTTAATGCCATCCGGCTGCTTTCCATCACCGCGGTCGAGGCCTACGGATTCGATTTGGGAAGGGAACCCAGCTGCATCCAAACCTCTTTTAATGATGTCGTTAATGGCTGCATGCCTTGGAAAGCGGCCGGCACTACGACGATAGGAGAGAGGATGCAAACCAAACTCATCGATGGAGGCTCCACATCTGCATCTGTGACGCTCAGATAATTTGAGTCCAAGACGGTTCCCGATTCCAACTCGAGTGCATTCATCATCTAGAAGGGCACCGGTAGATGAAGAGGGCACTGTGTTGGTCCAGGCGCCACTACTCGGTTGTGAAGCAGATAGTAGACAGCGAGACGATGCTGATCCAGAGAGAGACTCAAATTAGTAAAATTGGCCTCGCATTTTATTTTATCCCAGCTTTTTTGTTTTGATGTGTCTAGTGGGAGAGAAAGTAATTCTTGGGTCCAGACGCTGCAAGCTTGTTCGAAAGAACTACCCGAGAAACACAGACGATCCACCGAGTATCTCATCAATTAATTCGTGACTGGACGAAAGTGAAGAAAGATATGCTGGAAGGGCCAAATTTACCGCTGATCGAAGGCCAAGGCCTCCGAAACTCAAAGGGAGCTTTGCCTGCCTCCAGCCTGTGTCATCGGAATTGACGTTGCAAATTAGCTCCGCACATCATTTAACTGTGATATCTATCTCATTTAAGAAATCCTGTTCGAGGTAGCAAGGGGCACTTCAGAGAGTGTAGAGGAAACTCGGTAGCGAAAAACTGTTCTCCAAGAGGAGAATCAATTAGTTGCAATTTCTCAGTCATTCTTGTTAGAATGACATGCTTAGTATCCAAACACTCTCGAATGGCCATTGTTGGAATTATTTATTGCACATGAGTACAAACATGGCACAAGGCCGAGAAGTAGACTGTTGGGCGGTGCAATTGATTTCTAGAGATTTTATGTGCATTGGGATTTTTGACATTGGTCCTATATTTTCTTTCTGAATTCTGCGATCTGTGTGTTTTGTTTTAAACTTAAGCTATCATATTAACAAGCTATTTCGGCATTTTACATATAATGGACAGATTCGACGTATGGTTGATACCAGAATTTGATGGGTCTCCTAAATCTGTCGTCAAATGACTCGAGAAGGTAGAGCGCATTTGCAAATTATGCAAAATAAGGGAACCAGCAACTGTTATTACCTTGAGGTTAACTGGAGGAGCATACGCGGTGTACCAGTGTGGAATCTTCCACAACAAGCCAGTTAACCCCTGCTAGGAAATGCACTATTCCTGTTGTAATTTTCACCATCACAATCTTACAAAATATATAACAAGCAGTCATTGGTTAATCACCTTCAATCTAGCTTGCTGATTGGTCAGTTTCGACCAATCAAACCGCCTGCATGCAACAAATCAGTTTTCCCGCGTTCTCCATTTGAGCCTGTCACGTGGTACAACAAAATTATAAAAACAAAACACGTGTAAACTCCCTCGAGTTTCTTTTCATTCATCTCTCTCAGTCTCTTCCTTTACCAAGTACCAAGATGTAATCTTCAAGAACTCCCGTCTTAACTAATGCAGTCAGACGTTAAAGACCATTATCAACATTCACGCAAGTACGAACTCTGAAATCTCTTCTGAACTTTTACCAACTTGTACAATACACAATTCCAAACATGCTAAAGAAACTTTATTCTTCTAAACTACAGTTTAATAATTACTTTCACTTTATGAACTTAGGTACAAATATTACCTAATCTAAGAGACACAACTCTGTCTAACCTTTTCACTCAGTATTCATGCATGTATATCAAACACTAATAAATTCAATTGTTACGTTTTGAAACAATATGTTTTTGAATAATTATTCGATGTCTCGTATTAATTGTTGTGGATGGAAGATTATTGAACACACACAATTTTAAGTCTTCTGATAATTCAAACCTTCTATTCTCCAACACACAATCATCACACACATCCGAAACACCAGCAGTTTGGAGGTGATTTAAACTTAGATAAACTGAGATAAAGCGCGCCTTGTATAAGGCATTTGGAACGGATGCCTTTGTTGCATGGGAAAAGTTTGTTGAGCAGTTATTTAGCTCCATGATATTGTCCGACATTCGTCGGTAAAACCAGAATTTAGTGTCATTTGGCACTATTATTTATTGAAATGCAAACTGGGATGCCTCATTTTTAGCAGGATTACCCAGAGGATGTCAGTAGGCTCTTGCGGACGTCATCTAGGATTGATGAATTACCAAGTGACCAACTGTTGATCTGAGCTCGGAACATCCTATTTAATACCAGTGCTTTTATAAAATTTGGATATTTGATCCCGACGTTAAATTAAAAATGAATGGGTCCTTCCCAGTTGGCAACAGGCGTGAAGGCCCTAAATTACTATAACTTTGGTGGTCCCAACCATTTTCTAAATAAGTGTAGGAGTTTTTTCAAATAATAAGGGATGAGTGTCAATGATCACAGAGAAATTCTTCGGAATGCTATCGTTGTAATGAACAACATGACATTTGTTTCTTATTTTTTTTGATCCGGGTTTGTTTTATCGTTCCACCCTAGACCCCAAGGTTCACGTCCAATCAGAAGGCGTTAAGGGTTCATTTGATTTATTAAAATCACCAGATGTTCCTCACTGTCGGGTATGGAGAAGACAACGCATGGGCATTATGACTATTAACAGCACATCCCAAGTATGCGGTATGGGGACTATCACCATGTATACAGAAAGTGGTGACTTTGCCATAGTTGACGTACTGGTGTTGCGGGAAAAAAAACCTCGGCTACGACCTACCTATTGACATCGACGCAATAATAGCCCTAGGGGCTGTTAAGATCACACCAGCTAGTGGAAGGCAAGAATTATGCGCAGCTATTTCTATTGAGGAATCAGTTTTGCCTCACGTTTTGACCACAAAGAAAGGGCTTGGACTGCGATGTGGAAGTGGGCTATGAATAACTCCGTGAAAGCCAGAGATCAATTTGACACTGTATCGATAAACAGGACCCCCTGTAAGTGTACTGTAAATCAATTACAAATGAATATTTTTATTTTGACAAGTGTCCAAGTGTCGCTGTTCAAGCTCATTCTTCTGCAAAGGTTTGAAATTCTTGGTTTGCCACTGTGTAAAGATAAAAAAACTGATTTTAGATTCAGCATGGCGTTGAAAAGTTCAATAAAAATTTATTTTAAATTTCTAATAGACAGGCGAAGTCAGCATGCATCCTTCAGAATAGTACCATATCTTTCCAAAACTACACCTGTTGCCAAAAAGTTTGTTTGTGTCAACTCATGCATTTAATTATGTGTCCCCACGGGTGCATCATCATGACATTGAAAAATCTTTTATGCTTTTCCAATATTTTATTTATTAAACTGCATATTGACTAAATAAATCAATAAAATCTTTTCTATAAATACAATTTAGCAATCGCAAAAAATCACTTTGAATTTTTCATTCAAAAACTTGCTCACATGTTTCATTGATACAAAATCTGTAATTGGTTAAATTTTAACCAATCAAACATTTTATTAGTTAAATCAGTTTTTCTATAAATTTTTAATTTTGCCTATCGGTATTTTTTGTCAAAAGCAAAAATAATTTAATTCACTTCTGAATAAGTTCAAAGTTTCATAAAATCTTACTTTGGCATTTTTTCATACCAGGAATTAGTGAAGAGAAATGGAATAGACCAATTTTTATTAACTGGACCATGTTGACAAAAAAAAATTAATTTTTCATTTGTTTTTGTTTATAAACCTGGCGTAAAGTGCAAAATTACACTTGCAAAGCACAAACTTAATATAATTTGCAAAGCACCAAATCATATCTACATGACAAAGTAACTATCTTGCCAGATGGAACTCCAAATTTCTTGGACAATTCAACATGTTAAAACAGAAAAAATTTACTAATAGCCATTACCACTACTGTAGGAAATCCAGTTGTCCATTTTATATTAAACATCTGAATGTCTGAATTCCATACAATAATAAAATAAAAATAAAAAAAAACATTGGTATATGTGTTAAAGAAATCATTTGAATTTACAAACATATATGTATGAATTCAAGAGTTAAAAAGTATTAAAAATAGTCTTTTGTTGAGTTAGTCTTTGGATAGTTGATACACTGTAAAACAGTTGTAGCTTAGAAAATACTTTTAAATTTGGTACAGAGTAAAAAAAAAAAATTTTTAAATATAAAAAAATAAATAAAAGCTGTGGTTGATAAAAAAATCTTTTATCATTAGTGAAGATTCACTGAATGTCTTTGACGTTGTTGGAGATTTGTTTAAAATCACTGTGTGGCCATCCAAGCTGTTATTGGAGATGATTCATTTGAAGTTAATGCCATATATTTCGGAACACTGAGGGGGAAAAGCTATGTAGGAA